CCCCACTGGCTCTACGAATAGCTGAAGAAAAGTTATTTTGTATGGGAGCAGATTGCCGGGCCTCCTTCCTATTTATACCGGAAGGAAGCCCGAGGGGGGGCCCACCTTGCGGGTGGGCGTGGACTACAAGTGTTTCAGTGCTGCGCGGGGGCGCAGGGGGATTACCCAATAGCGATAGCCTTAGAGGGCTACGCCATTTACTCATAGAAACTGGAGTTACAGTAGGTAACTACAGATTTTATTGCACCACCTCTCACTTCTCTTTTTAACCTCTCCCTCAGCACAAACACAATTCCAACAGTATGGAAGTCAGCTTATTTCCTTCCTCTACTAAAAGGAGGGGAGGCCACCTTATTAAATAATTATAGACCCATCTCTACATTGTCAGTTCTGGCCAAGGTTCTTGAACGCCTAGTGAGTGAGCAGGTAAAGGAGTTTTTAACTAACAATGACATCCTATGTAAACATCAGTCAGGTTTCAGAAAGCAACACAGCACCATCACTGCCACAATGAAAGTGTTGAATGATATTGCGGATGTCTTAGACAAAAAGCAGAGTTGTTTTGTTCATTGTTGTCATAGTCTTTGGAAATGGTCTTATTCTCATCTAGTTTACTTTATATTTATTGTAAACATTTATTTATAGGCTATATATGAATGCTGATTTTTAAAATAGTTAATAGTTTATCTCACATTTTTTTCTTACATTTTTTCCATGGACAAAACATGTTTAAGCAACAGAAAATGTATTAAAATAATTAATGTATGAAATGTGTACATTATCAGAGCCTGTAACCCGGAAGTATAGTCATCTAGATATAGATAGTATAGTAATCTTTGACATAGAACAATATAGAAACATTTCTACATACTATACTATATGTTTTTTTCCCCATATTTTCAACAAACTATACTAGTAGGTCGTTTCTTTTAATATTTTCCACAAACTTTTTTTGCATCACCATGAATGATGGTCTTGAATCACAACTTTAAAACATTTGATGTTGCAACATTCATTTTATTTGATAAAACAGAAAATACGTCATCAAGAAAAACGAATTACAAGTCATTAAATACATTTTAAAACATATTAATGAAACAATACATGGCACGTCTCCCAGCATGGTAAATCGTCACATGTTCACGTCTTGCCGTGATACCGGGTTGACCAGGCCACACCTGATGCAACTTAAGGCCTGTAATCAGCAGCGCTCAGACTCTCCCGTGTCTGCAGCAGCTGGCTGATCCCCATTGCTCTCTTCACATGCTGAACATTGATGCATATTTTGAGTAAGTTGTGATTATGTTTATTGGTGGCTTATCCTTATCCTGCAAAAGCAATGTTTGATTTGTTGTAACAGAGCGTTGTGGCCTTTCCTGATTTCTATTTTGTGTTTTATGTTTTAGCCTTAAAATCATCCCCATCACATTCACCATCTACATAGATGGTCTACTGCATGTGAAGAAATGCATGGTTAAACTGCTCTCACTGGTGGTCCTCATACTTTGAATGGTATGCCAATGCAGAGGCACTTCAGGAACCCTCCCTAAAACTAGAGCCTAGTTTTATCACTAATACTAAACACTAGGGGGAGTGTCAGCCTTACATTGGGGTTTGCATGGAGGATTATACAAACATGAGTCTAAATATTGGCATCAAAATAAAAAAGTACTAATTCTGCCGACTGGTCCATTTAAGAATTACATATATTATATGTTTTGATTATAATCATTGATTTAAAGCAGTGGTTCCCAAAGTAGGGGGGGCATTAAGTATTAATCACAACCTAAGTAGTTGCAAGTCTCTTTGTGGATACACGTGTGCACACATTCAGCAAATAAAATGATATGTCTCCTTTTTCTGCATTGAACTACTGATACATTTTGTGTACTATTCACATTATCTGAAATCCCCTTTCATTTGGAGACAAAAGGCTCTTCTACTAGTAGTCATAATGGGCGGGGCAAACTCCTGGGAATAAATCTAAATCAATGCATCACCCTCCTTAGTGACACACATAAGTATGTGTATATCTGTGTCGGTGTGTGCGCATGTTTCACTAGCTGCCGGTTTCACATGCCACCACCAAAACGTCCCCCTCCCTGTTACCATGGAAACTGTCATTTTTCTCTTTTCCTCCCCATGTATGATGCTTACCTTTCTAATGTCTTTCCCTTATTATTTGCATACATTATCCTCCATATTTATTGTTTTCTGGTCATGCATTCAGCCTTATCCACCATCTGTGTGAGCCCGTGTGTCTGTGTGCATGCTGCACGTGTTTTTTAAGTACCTGTGTATTGAACGGTTCAATAGCACAGACAGACACTGCCATACATACAGTATGATGACCACATCAACAGCCAATCAGGTTATCGGTAGCTGCTGGCGGGGCTTCAACCAATGGGGGATGCTGGCAGACGATGATATGTGAGCAGAGCAGAAGGGATGCAGCGCCATGGAAACTGCAGAGGGGGCCAAGAGGAAACAGCGCCCTCTAGTGGCGCCAGATGTCTCTGTTTTTTCCACTTCTGCAAGGATGAGTTCTGGTTCAGAGAACTCTGCGTGAGGCCTTGTGTGGTACTTTTTTTAGTTGTGTCCCAACCTCAAATTTGGGCACCAGGGAAAGGCTTTTCATTCAGCGTCTTAGATATACAAATTGTAAAAAATGTAGTTTGTTTACCATAGATTGCTTGCAAAAAGTAAAATAAATAAACATATGTCAGATATTGAACAAGTTAAGTATAACTTTATTTTTACTGTATTTTATTAGGGGATGTCCAAAATGTAGCAGTGGGATGTGTATGTGATTCCCCTCTTAGCCTGTAGGGGGCATCACAAACACATCCGAGGGCTGCCTATCCCACACCTGAGGTAATCCCACCTGCGTCCCTGCACCTGCCACCCACTCCAGAGGAACTCCTGCACCTGCAGAAAGATTACATCAAGCAGGTAAATGGACTTAATCCTCACATTATTAAACACTAATCGCCTCCAACACGTTTCCCCAGAGCCTTTTGCTCAAATGTTACCCAACCGATTTGATAAAAGAAATTGCTTGAAATGAGCTATATTCATACAAAACCCAGTGGGTGGATTAAGATCGTAATACCACTTATCACTATCCCATTGTCAGCGTCCCTTTTGTTGTTGTTGCGGAGGAACCTCCAAAAGACACATGGGAATCTGCGTTACTTTTTAAAATGTATGTATTTGTTTATTTGTGCAGATGACTGTCCACTCCATGTGTTGGGAATACGTTATTCCTGTCGGATGAGACAACAGAGGAATACACTGCATGTGAAATGGATGGAGATAAGAAGGGGAAATGCTGACGTAAGGTGATGGGGGTTTGGATGGTCGACGCTTGCGCGGGACACACTGGATGTGTGACCGTTAGGGGAGATTAGGAAACTGCGCCTAAATCGCCCCCCCTGCCGGACGCCATGTTGGCTCAGCCTGCGCTAGGACACCTGCCAGAGTCCACCCCGTGCCGCCATTTTGGCTCCGCCCGAACCAGTTTCGTGGAAGATAGAGGGAGGAGCCTGGCATTTCTGGAAGTCGGAGGAACAGCCAGTCAAAGCCAGCCAGCATCTGAGCCCACCGTAAGAACGGGAGCAACGGTGGACGAAGGAAGGGTCGGCGGTGTTGGAATATAATTGCAATATTCACAAGCACAGACGGTGCTTGTGCAACGGAATAGTCGTCGACATGCAAGCGAAGGTCTTCCATGTTGGCTCTGGAAGCTGAAGCATATTGCAGACCGGGCACATTACGGTGGGATAAGCCATCTGTGATACACTGGGTGTGCACAGCGCAATAACGGTGCGAGCCAACCGGTTATTGCATCGACAGCGAGCTCGCATTAACCCAGCCAACCATTTTCCAGAGCCCCGTTAGCTTGCGGAAAAGGGAACATCTTGATCGGTGGGCGCTGCAAAGGGGAGTCCTGCGTCTTGCGGTACCCAAACAGTAAGATACAAATAAGAGGCATGCAAAGAGGAGTGTTTTTCTGGAGGAAATCTCCACGCCCTGGGTGCTGTTCTGTGGTTAGCTAGCTCGCTGGCTAGCTAGCCTACCGGGAGCTGAAGAGAAGGTGGGGCCGCGGAGTGACAGCCAAGCGAATGTGGCTAGCCGGCTAACTCGGACACTAGAGTGGTTACTTTGTGTTCCTGTCGCTGACATTTGGTGCTTTACATTGCCAGGATTGTGCTGTTTGGGACAGTAAAACCCCACAATTGCATCCTCTAAAATCCGTGTGGGTGGGCTATCTTGAGGAGAGCATCCTCACTTACCTATATGACCATGGCGGACGACGACGTGCTGTTCGAGGATGTCTACGAGCTGTGTGAGGTGATTGGCAAGTAAGTACACATGGTGTAATGTAACTTATACCAGCCGTGTATAAAGAAATTCAAATCAACCCCACTTGAACAAATTACAACATTGAAGTGATGAACACATTAATAATTGTAATACATTTAATCTAATAATTTCCAAATATCTGTTGCTTTTCCTTAAGTACAATTGTGAATGCAGTTACTGCATTCACAATTGTACTGCTACTATTACTTAAGTAAATAATCTGAGTAATTTATCCACCTCTGTTAACCATTTTCCCTTCTTTGCTTTTTTGTTTTAGTTATTTAATCTAATGTTTGATTAAGGCTGGCTCTTTTAATGTTTATGCCCTCATGGGTTTCAAGAGGAAAGTTCACTGGGTTGGTGAGGTCACTCCTTAAAATGCAGTCTCCACCTTATAATATAATTGAATAGCTTATGTACCTAATGCAGAGTTCTGAAATGGGTAAGGCAGGATGTTTTTAAACCGTATCAGGTAATGCTCAGTAGAAAATATGACATTGGTTATCAAATAATGACTTGTGTGTGATTTGGTTGCAGACATAGTTCAGAGATGCAATATTTTGGTGGAAATGTACTGTTTTTCCTCACTTTCCCAGAGTCAGAAGCTATACTATTTTTTGGGTAGTCTGAAGTTATGTCAAACATCAATATAAGGTTGTGTTGCCTCAGCTGTTGAGTGTGTATGGTGTAAAACATCATAATAATGATCCTATAGGCCTTCCGGATGTAAGCAAAACTGAGTTGCAGAATGTGCCTGACATTTCATATCCATGCAGAAAAGGGAATTAACAAGACTGACTACAAACGTATATCAATTGTTTACTTCCTTGATTACAGTTTGTAAAGATGCAGTAGCAGTACAGGTATGTACTGTGCAACTAAAAATATATTTCTGTATTTCTACTTGTATACCATTTGTTGACATTGGAGAAGGAATTAATTTGTTGAGGATAGAGTCTGGGTTTAAATAACATGATGTGTAATAATCATATGGCTGCACATCCAAAATGTCTGCAGAAAGGATTTTCCTCCTCTAAATCCCCCTGCCCGACAGTTGCCATGCCTGCATACAGTCTGGCATGTTTATGTTTTCATCTAAATCACAATTGCCTCAGTCTGCATGTTACTTCTCTGTGGTCAGATGGCTCCTCTATTCCTGCTTGAAGTGAAGCGGGAATGCTGACGGGTCATCACAGTGCTGGGCTACCAGTCAGTCGTCCCCCCCCCAAACTGCCCTCACTGGAAATCTGAGGGTCCATTAAGTTTGTTGTAGGGGTAAGAGGCACACTCTCTCCAGACCCCCAGGCCCTGTTCTATATCCTGGTACTTCCTGTTGTCTGGTTACTAATTGATGGATGGAGTCCCAGTAAGGGATACAAGGAGCCACTAGGGATAGTAAGAACGGAAATGGTGAGACCATCAAGTTTGTATGTTTTATTTGACAATAGAAAGTCATTGGCTGGTAGATTAATACTGAGGAAGAGAGTATTTGCAAATGTGTGTTCTGAGCAGTTTAGCAGGGCATGGTCAGCAGAAGAGTAATGAATGAACAATAGTCTGGATCCTTTTTTGTGACTGAGTTAAAAAGCAAGGTGCCACAGTTATGTCCCAGACCAGAATATCCCTCTCATCCTGCCAGTTCTTTTATGAAACTGTCTGCAGATGATGGATCAAGTGTGTTCAGTTCTGGTGTCTTGGGATGTGTTGCAGGAAGAAGAGGGGGGGGGGATCATTTTCCCTCAGCCCTAATGGGAAGGGAGGCAGAGGCAGATCAATGGAGACAAGTGGAGTTGGGAATGGGATGGCCCTGGGGCTACGGATATAAATAAAGCCGACAGGCATTGACTGCAGCCATCTCCCACTTTGTTTCAAACCTCCTGTTTTACTGTAGTGGACAGCTTGTCGGACCACTGACCGCTGAGCATGGTAGTTAATTAAAATAAGAAATGGAAATTCTTTATAGCCACAGGAAACCGCGATAGAAACCCTATCCCCATGTTGTCTGTCTCGTTAGGGAATCTTCCCGGTCCTACATTTCTGCTAGAGTAGGATTTTTCGACAGATGCCGGGCCGTAATGGCAGGTAAGGGGATAGCGAGATTGATCTCCACAGGGGTTGTAACGGCATATTGCACGGTATCTAATCATCTTTCCTAAATCTATTGTTGAGATATTTTTTCAACCTAAAGTAATAACTCGATGCGAAGGATTTAGTGTTTATTGTCTTTTCTCGTGTGACAGCTTTTTTCTGGCGGAAACCCTCTGTGACATTAAAATTGGCGGTTATATCGTTCTGTGTGTTCCGCCAGAAAAAAGCTGTCACACGAGAAAAGACAATAAACACTAAATCCTTCGCANAAGAGGTGAGTTTTTGTGAGTTTTTTGAAGGTGGTGAGGTCGGTGCAGTCTCTGATGGGTTGTGGGAGTGAGTTCCAGAGGGAACTATGATATGAAAATGATTATGATATTATGACTATGATTATGATAATCTCTTTCTCATTATGCCCAAGCATTAGATTAAATCAGTAACAAAGTGGCGGGAACAGGCACTGAAAGCTGAGACATTTGCACATTTTGTTTCCCCTAGCCATCTGAGACACACACACACACACACACACACACACACACACACACACACACACACACACACACACACACACACACACACACACACACACACACACACACACACACACACACACACACACACACACACACACACACACACACACACACACACACACACACACACACACACACACACAGCCCCTGCCGTGTTACAGCTGTCTCTACATCTCCTAAAGTCCTCGATCCTCAGAGGCGGAACCAATGCTACCGGAGACACACACATAGACAAAAACACACAATAGCACCAAAAGTGGTGGCCATTTCAATTTGCTTTAACTTAATTAGCAAATTAACTGCCAGTGTGAGTGCCAAACAAACAGTAGAAGTCATTTACTTTAAGTGTGTGTTCATGTTTCCAGGATGGGGGGCTGCAGCTGATTTGCTCCCACATCTGCTGTAAATATTAACCCGTGCAAATAAACGCAGGCAGTATGTGTGCACAGAGAAGCCCTAAAACACGACACTCTTCTCCCCCAGAGTTCACAGGAATCCCACTGGTGATCTGAAAACACGGCTGACCCTTGCCCCCCCCGTGGGTTGAGGGTCTGCAGCAGCTGTGTTTCTTATTAAAAACACTCAGATCTGTTTGACCGGGGGTCTCCGAGGCTGCAACCACTGGAATACAAACGATGCAGTGAGGCCATCTTTGCCACTGATCTAATGCGTGTCATTACCACCATTAAGCAATGAGGTGGGGTTTAGTGAACCTGCCAGGTTTCTGCACCGACCCCATTTGCAATCTTGGCTGTCATTTCAAAGAGGCTGCATGGAGAGTGAAATCAAATCCATGGGGCTGTTTAACTGCATTGCGAGTGAAAAGGGGGGATGGGTTAGTTGTGTTATTTAAAAAGAGGCCCTATTATGCGTTTGGGGGTTTTCCCACACACTCCCCCTGCCTGAAACGCCTCCATTGGACTCCTTTGTTTGATTCCCGAACACAGTGACATCACTATCTAACACTCACACTTTCATTGGCCAGTGATCCAACACATTGTACGTGATAGGTTATAGGCTAAGGGGAGGTACATCTCTAAGCAAGTAACCAATCAAAACATAGGTAGCCAGCTAATCAATCTGAGCAGACTGGGCTCTGGTTTCAGACAAATATGAACCTGAAAATAAGCAGAATGTCCGCTATAATTATTCAAGAATGCAATTCATCCCACCTGGAATACAAAAAAAGAGAGAAATCAGCCATGTACAGTAAGCTGTTACATAGAGCATGCATATGAGACAGAGAGATTCAGTGTGTGTGTGTGTGTGTGTGTGTGTGTCTGAGCGCAAGGAAGCGCAGAGGCCTCATGCCACAGTGACATCAGTGCAGCTGTGCTGAGTGGGCTCATACAAAACGCCCACACATGGCTCACATCCGACAGTGGCAGTCATCAAACATTAGCCCAAAGTGGCAGTCTTTACAGACTGCTCCGAGCCTCGTTCCAACTCCAGCTCCATGTAAATCAACCACGGGATATTAGAGCCATTTTTCACACTGGCCGTGAACCAATTCCCCTCTCAGGTTGTTTTTTTCTCCCTCTCTCCTAAACAGACAGGACACATCTGTGGCTGCAGACTCAACATCACCAGTGCAGCTCTCCTGAGAGCAAGCGTCTTTGCTTAAAGCAGCATTTTGCTCTTTAGCTGAGGCCAGCAGCGAACATAATTCACCCGGGTTAGTCTGTCCCAAAGGTTTTAGGGGGGGAAATGTTTGCACAGATGTGAGATGCAGAAACAAATGTGAGTGTCTCGTTCAGCCAAACTAGTGGTTCTGCTTGCTAATCTTGAAAAATGATAAAACTTGTGTGTAAAACATCACTTTATTAATAGTGGAAATATGTTCAAAAATATTTAGCAGCCTCCAACGGGTTACATTTGAGTATTGGTGTATAGAAAAAAATGTATATGATAGTTTGGGTCATAATAATGAATTAGTGGTGATGCCCGTGGAAACAGAGATGACTGTTTTGGTTGATTTTGCCTGTCCTTGTTTGTCTACCCTCCCTCATAATGTAAAGCGTCTTTGGGCTCAAGAAAAGCGCTATAGAAATATAATTTATTATTATTAATACATTTGCTCAGAGGCTATGAACAAAGAAAAAACCCAAACATAAAAGGGATTCCAACAGACGGCTTGAAGGATGAGTGCCGTTTGCCCTACTGCCCAAACCTAGCTCAACTGCAAAGCTGTTAATTTCACAAGTTCAACAAAATTCAGAGCTGTTCATGTGCAGTCTGTGGATGTCTAAGCAACAATAATCCAGAGTGCTTACTTATGCAAATTAGAGAATCCTTTGAATATTACCAGGGAAATTAGTATTCCGGCTGCAAATTGAGAATTTAGAGCAGAGACACCCTCAGGAGGTTCTACAGCTTTG